CATCAGAAGTTGAAGTATTATATTTAAATTGAATTTTACAGGGTATTCATTGAATGATCAAATAAGGGCCTACCTGTACTCCTTAAAATCAGATTTTGTGATAAGCGCTCCTCTCTATTAATATATTTTAGTATGGTTAAACCATGCAGTAGGAAGAGCAATACGTTTATATCATTTGCTAGCTCCACTTTGCATGCCTTTGAAATTAATACTATTTAGGTTTAGGTTACATGCATGCATGTAAACATCTTATTTTATCATGTAACTTAAATTTTCCTAATTACATTGCATGTTAGATCTTATTTGAACATTTCATCATAATATTATCCATGAAAATTTAATAATTTACAGATGATTTGTATATCATGCAATTAATGGCGATTAATATAATTATTTTGCGTCTATTGGAAATTTGGTATAGAAATCAAGTCCGTTCTGGTCATGCACATGTTAAACTTGTGCGAAATTTTAAAACTTATACATTCAGTTTTCGCCATGTGCATGGCACCATGTCACGTATAAGAAATTGTTTATCAATTCTATAAGAATGATCAATTCCAAGTGAAAACAATTGAACATGAGGGCATAGTCGATCACCTAGCTTATAGCCTATAATAGTTACTTTCTTCACAAAAATGTGCATAGCGTCATACGAAAAAGCGGGCACGCACTTTTACGTTGATATCTCGTCTGAATCATGCAGAGTCATATTTTTCCGGCACAAAAAACTACTCTTAAGGAATAAAAAATGGAAGAAATGGAACAAAAAATTAAATTTAGCGTTTGCATGTACAATATATCTAAAATATGCAAATATACAAACGCTGTAGTATTTTAAGATTGTATCTGTTTAAATGCATGTTAAATAAATGTATTATGAATTTTTTTCTGTGTTGGTGTAGTGTACTCAGGTGAATATGATATTTGTGGTGTTACTCTGAGTCTATATCCACACCGGGCGAGCTTGAAAAATATGCCCGGCCACGGTGGGATTCGAACCTACGACCTTTGGAATACTAGCTCAATGCTCTTCCAACTGAGCTACGCGGTCAGGACGGTTCGAGTATAGTGATATTTCGGAACAGAATCTAGTTCCTTCGATACCAATGTATTCTAGTAACATGAATTTTTTTCTATGTTGGTGTAGTGTACTCAGGTGAATTTGATATTTGTGGTGTTACTCTGAGTCTATATCCACACCGGGCGAGCTTGAAAAATATGCCCGGCCACGGTGGAATTCGAACCTACGACCTTTGGAATACTAGCCCATATTATATTAGTATAGGTAATCACACGGGAAGGAGTGCAATTAATGATTAACACTACGAGTGATATTTGAAAAATGTGCCAAAATTGCACGAGCCGCCGAGGCGAGTGCAATTTGGCACATTTTTCAAATATCACGAGTAGTGTTAATCACTAATTGCACGACTTGCCCGTGTGATTATTTATTTATTATATGCATGACAAAATCGCTTTCTTTATATTTCAACTGCATTTTGTCAAGAGTTTTTAATTCTTTTGTAAGCAATTTGGTATAAACAAACTTGGGAAATGATTACAAACTCATGAAGGCACATAACTTAAACTAGAACACAAGATTCAAACTCAAACAACATATTTTAGACTAAGAAAATCTTTATAAATTGTATTTCAAACTTACATAGTCACGTTTCGCTGCATCCCGCCAAGATTATTCCTTAAAACTGTTTCCAGGTATTTTCCACAGGCTCTTTTTGCCATACAATGTTTTTTAAACTCATTCTTGTGCCAAAATTCAGTTAAATTCGTCCACATTTGTTAGAAATACTTATCTAAATTTCGCCGCCATATTGGATTTTGTTGTTTTGATTTCCCGCTCCCCCCAGCCATCGCGAAAATCATTAATTGCACTCCTGGAGAGTGCAATTAATGAAATAATTGCACTCCTCTTAACCAATCAGATTGCAGTAATTTTGTCATGTATATAATAAATTATTTTATTCACATAGTTTTGAAGTCTTTTAATTTTAATTTTAAAAGGTGGTAGTTAACCCTTAGTTTTCTCAAAATTTTTTTTTTCTTAAAAAAAATTATTTCGATGAGTACAGTTGCGAAATTTATCACTCTTTTGCCCTGTCAAGTTATTTTTTATTTTATGTAACTATTTTGGCCAAAATTTGCGATAATATAGACGTTGGTGTAATTTTCGTGCATAGTTACCATTTGTTTTTAATTATTTACTTTGGTTGCTATGGGGTTTTTCGTCTTCGATTTTGTAGGAATATTTCGAACCCCCCTCTTCTAGGACAAGAACCCCCCCCCCCTTTTCAATGAACATTGAATCATGCTCGTCCCATGCCCCCGAAAGCAATGATGACGCGGTTTGTTGTGAATACATGTGACAGAGTGCCAAATCGCGAAGGTAAACATCTAGTTCGGTCAATTTGAATAGCTTTTATTTATTTATTTATTTATTTATTTATTAAACTTTGCCAAAAAACACTTAACAGAACAGCAAATAGACATCTACACAATAAACATGGACAAAAATGGCAGGGACACCACAACAGTGTAAACCAATTACTGTGGGCCCTATACAAAAATACACATACAGTACAGAACATATAACATACAGTACATGGACAGGAGACTAAAAACAACAAGTTAGTTCAGAACGTAAGTAACGACTAGTGTTTAACTTCAGACAAATAGTCTTCCATGTCCTCGGATCTTCTTCGTCGAAGCATTCTCTCAGGGCTGTCAGGTAGTAAGTTTGTAAATCGGTTTTGAATTGCCTAATATTAATGTCAGGAGATCTTAGTGTAGTTGGTAAAGAGTTCCAAGTTCTGGATGCACGAATAAAGAAGGAGCGTTGGTAGGTAGAGGTTTTGCATTTGGCCGGACGGAAGGAGGATCTGGTCGTTCTGGTTTGGGACATGACTTCGGGGAGGACGTCATGGGACACGTCGACCAAGCCGTTCACCGCTTTAAAAAAGAACACGAGATCCAAATATTCGTGCCAGTAAGATAGCGGTAAGAGACCCAAACTGGCAAGTCGTTCCCGATAAGTCTCACTGCACAAGTACGGAAGGTACATTATTACATTATTGAGAAGTCTAAATGGCTGAAAAAAATACTACGAAGTTTAGATCGATCAGAAGAAGAAAAAGAAAAGGTTTTTGTGGGCTGAGAACCGACGAAATAGGCGAAAGATCGAGCGAAAGTGCGAGTGGTTTTACTGATGGCCGACATCCGTCTACCAGCGTGTCAAATGTTGCCGAGGTTTTGGAAGCAAAAGCCAAGTTTTGCCTCAATCTAAGGTAAATATATCTCAGAAAAAGCTGCTCAATTCGTCTTTTGAGAAGCTTGACTCTGACCAAGCAGTTTTAACCCGCACAAAAACCCAAACTCTTGGCCTTGGGTCTACATGTCACACTGAGAGTGCATCTGGGTTCAAGTTGCAAGATGCATCTCTGCTGAAAGAATGTATCTCTAGTGCAGCAATTTGTAGTGCTTGTAGAGATCCCAAATCCAAACTACAACTCTTTCAAAAAAACAGGTTGAGAGAGGGCCTTGCAGAACACTTATACTTAGAGTGTTCAATATGTGAGGCACAGACCCCTCTCTTGACCAGCAAGCGTTTGGGTGGTAGGGGAGGTGGAGCCCAGGAAGTGAATCGCAGAGCAGTTCTAGCAGCTCCTCAATTGGGTCATGCCAGACTCACTCCATTTTGTGCTGGAATGAATTTGCCACCTCCTGTAACAAAGAAGGCTTATAATGACCACCAAATACAAATAAAAACCATTGCGGTAGACAATGCTGAAACGTTGATGAAGGATGCGGCAAAGCGACTGGTTGACAAGGTCGCAATGGAAAGCCCGGATGACATTGAAGATGATTGAACTACTGTTGTCGCAAATGTGTCGGTTACAATTGATGGAACATGGCAAAAAAGAGGACATTAATCAAGAATTGGTGTTACTTTTGTTATATCTGTAGACACTGGTGAGAGGTCCTAGATTACTGCGTCAAGTCCCTGTTTTGTCATGAGTGTAAAGCCCATGGAAACATGAATTCTGAAAGTGAAGAATACCAGTCTTGGAAAGAATGCCATGAACCAGTTTGCCAAATCAACCATGCAGGTTCATCAGAAGAAATGGAAGCTGCTTCAGCCACTGGAATGTTTGGGAGGAATATCAGTGAACGTAATCGAAAATATACTACATTTGTTGGTGATGGTGACAGTAGTTCATACGGACGAGTGAAGGATGCTATGTTCCAAAAGTATGGAGATGAATATATTGTGACTAAGGAAGAATGTGTTGGCCATGTCCAAAAAAGACTTGGTACAGCACTTAGAAAGTACAAGGCAGATAAGAAGGGTAAAAAGCTATCAGATGGTAAAGGTGTTGGTGGTCGGGGAAGATTGACAGACAAAATCATGGACAAAATGCAAAACTATTATGGAAAAGCTATTCGGGGAAACAAGGGTGATCTTCTGGGAATGAAGAGGAGCATAAAAGCAATTCAGTGCCACATGATTGAGAATACAAAAGTACCTATGCAAGAACAACATGTCCTAAAGATGATAACACTTGGTGCAAATTTTGGAAAGAAAAGTTAGATGACACAGTAACATATGACCAAAGCAATCGTTTGCCTGAGGTGTTTATGGAAGAGTTAGCTCCAATTTTTACAAGCTTTCTCAGGACAATCTGCTCTCTAGGTGTTTGAAAGGGATAACACAAAATCAGAATGAGGCTATCAATGGAATGCTCTGGTCTAAATGTCCCAAGACTAAATTTTGTGGAGCTCGAAAAGTAACAATAGCTGTCTGTGAGACCATTGCCCTTTTCAATACAGGTGCTGCCAGTAAAGCCATGGTTATGGATATATTTGGCATAACACCAGGCAGTAAAACAATAAAAGCACTAAGGTTGCAAGATCAGTCCAGAATAAAAGCTGCTTCAAAAAAAGTTAGCGACAAGTACCAAAAGCAACGGCAGAAACTTCGTGCACAAAAAAGTCGAAAGGTGACAAGACAGGTTACCAGGCTGGCGGATTTAGCCTGAGCTCTCAGCCTGATGAGCCTGTCAAAAAGAAAGGGAAGAAAAACCCCAAGTAATGTAGAGCAGGATATGACTGACTCATCTGTTGTGTGAACGATAGAAGCAAAACGGAAAAAATAAGTGTGTTCCAAGTAAGATAATCTTGTGTCTAGATGCTTAGTCATTCACTTTTTTAGCATAAATATCCAGTGTTTCTATGGTAAAAGATGTCAGTAGACAATATTCTAACTAATAATACCATGAACATCAGATTAGGATGGTTTACTAGACTAGTTTTTGAAGAATAAGCCAAAGTTAGGGCGATAAAGTTTGTTAACACTTTAACATTGATTTATTCAAATTAACGAATTTATTGTAAACGAGGGTGGTAACAATGATAACTCAAAGGGGATTTGATGGATTTTGATGATTTGTGGGCTGAGTATTAAACTTATCATAATCTATGCAATGAATGGTCAGTTTTGCATATTATGCATTTGTTCCTTTGTTACCATGGAAACTGGATATTTTCAGCGTTCGGACTCGGCAATTAACTCTAACAAAATTCCAACCATTCATTGCACAGCTTTTGACCCAACCAACAGTCTTACCAAGTTTGGTGTTAATATCTATTTTTCCCTTTGAGTTATTACTGTTGGGAGTGAGTCCGTTATTTAGGTTTATTTGTTGTCGTCATGGCAACCAAGGCCCATGCTGTGCTTCGACAAAGCTTAATATATGTGACATGATTGGTAATAGCTTTGCGCCAAGTTTCAATATGATTGGTCAGATATTTTTAAAAATAGAGCCTTTTAGTAAGTTAAGGGTTAACTACCACCGTGTGTGTTCGAGTGACGCAGATCTCCAATTCAAATCTTCCTCAAAAGATATAGATTCCCCGCCGCTGGAGAATAATTATTATCCCAAAAAGACATTTAGAATCTCAAACGGCAGAATTCTGCAATAAGCGAGCTGTTGTGTTAATTATCTTAACTGTCTGAAAAAAGATATCTCAAACATGATTTTTCAATACGTTACCGCACTTCGAGTCCATGCACTAAACTTGCTTGCCACAAGTCGACCATTGGGGAGGGAGAGCGCGACCCGAGCGACGAAGTCGCGAGTGGTCGACTTGTGTCGCTTGCAGGAATTTAAATCGCATCAAAAATTTTGGCGCGAATAATTTTGACATATTAAAAGGGTGTGTAAATTTCATGCAATTACTTCAACGCACCGACAATGGGTCTACAAAAACACAAAAACATTCTCTAGAATTGATATTTCTTGGTCGTCGAATGAAACAGTTTGCACCAAGTGTGGAAACGAAATAACTGACCCAAGTTAAGTAAGCGCCGAAAGCTGTTCAATGTATTGAAGCTTCACAGTTGTTTGTCTATTAAACAATGTGTGCCGTAATTATGTCGACAAGAATAGTCAGTTCGCCAGCGATTTAACTAAGGTAGTAGAAGTTAATCTATAAATTGAAAAGAATCAGACAACTGTAACCAAGAAGCAGAGAGGCAGCGATTGTGATCAACTAGAAGACGTCGCTAGAGTTCAAAATCCAGTAAAAATACGCGTTGTTTTCTCAGCAAACGAACTTGTAATAATCAGTAATCGAGATCAAGAAACCCAAACTATATTAAAACCTGAAACTAGTGAGGAAATTTTAGAATCATCAGATGCAACTTCGGTGGCAGTATTAATTAAAGTTTATTTCTACACCCTGTACTTTATACTCAATGTAATGTCTGTTTGTGTATTTTTACATGGTTTTTGTGTTCTACAAAATTGTAATTACATTGTTTAGTCTGTTTGCTTCAATAATACACATTTGTTCAACAAAGAGCCTGAGAATATAATATTATTTTTAGACTCCTTCGATAATGACCGATAATGTAACCGCTTCGGCCTTCAATGTAAACAATGACGTCACCGGTGGATTTTTCCACCGGTGATATTTGGCGCGCTGCAAGTGACAAAAGTCCTTTCCACAGAGGAAGTGAAGCGCGCCATTGAAGGGCCTGGAAAGGACTTTGGAAAGTCTATAAACTTGCAGTAATTATATAGATTGATGCAAAATATCTCAAACGTTGGTGGTCCTGTTTACAGATATAGCATTATACAATAAGCTTCGTGGTTTGTGTCTGAACTATATACTTGAAAAGATATATTAACGTGCAGGGGTTGGTATAAAACTCTAAATTACTTTTTAACTATCCGTATCATGCATAGTGGTTAACTTTAACCGCGTAGTTAAGTCGGTTGTATAAAAATGTAGCTAGCGTTTACTGCTGTTAAAAAGTAGTTGAAGTTAACTATGCTTTAGGGTATCGTTAACTTCTCAAAACGTATAGTGAAAAATAGCGCTTATATATTGTAGTGAACAGCATTTTTCAGTAAAACAATAATGAAAAGCAACGCTAATTACCAGGGGCCGGTTGTATAAAACTCTTAATCACTTTTTTAATCACTATTTTGTAGTTAAATAGTGATTAACTCTCAAATACGCGCTTCTTATTGGATGACGTTTCCACTTAACTATAGTTAACTTTAATCACTTTTTTATACAACCGGCCCTTGAGATTTTCAATCCGGCTATCTTCCATGTGAATGTTTTCTGACAATATATAAAGTATTCCATCTTAACTGCGGAATAATGAGCTGGGGAAACACCTATACTACCCATCTATCCAAAATTCGCATTGCTCAAAATAAATGTGTACGAAATATTTTCTTTGCGCATAAAAGAGAAGATGCCAGTACCTACCTCAATCTATTGGGAATACTAAACGTTGACAATGACAATGTTTTTAAATTGAAAATTGCAATTTTTACATATAAAATCCTTAACAACTTAATGCCGTCAGTTTTTGCAAACTCCATATCCATCGCATCTACCTGTCACTCGTATAATACAAGATTCGCGGCAAATCAAAACTTTAGCAGACCAAAAGCGCGCACAAACTACGGCAAACACACTTTTCTTTTTTCGTCATCCAATATTTGGGAAACGATAGACCTACATATTAAGCAGTCGACTTCAGTTAGAATATTTAAATCTAAATATACAAGAAAACTTATACTAAGCCAAACGTAGAATCCAGACACTGATCCAGCCACACCAAACGCGTCATGTTCTTTTTTCTCAATTATGTAAACAGTCACAAAACAACAATTTTGTAAACGGTGGCCAACTCGAAAGCTTCTCAGCTACTTTGGTCACTGTACACGATATAATAGTGAGCTTAAGCAAGTGACGTTTTTGACAACACGGACGTCGACCGGAAGTAAAGTTGACGTTTTTCACCAATCACAGCCCTTGACCCAGTCTTCTGACGTTACTCATGCCGTTCGTGTTGTCAAAAACGTCACTTGCTTAAGCTCACTAATACCATAATTAACTCTTTTTTTTTCCCCCTTCCATTATGATTTTTTTGTGATGTAATTAATGTCTAACTATATCTTTTGTAAACGTGTGAAATAAAGTTGAATTGAATTGAATTAAATCAGAGCTCACAAAATGTAAAATAAAATACCTACAGTATATATTTCGGAAATTTATTGTTGTATAGTTAAAAGTACGAATCTTTCAACTACAATTTGCAGTTTTGTACAAAACATATGAAAAAATTAAAAATTTAAGAATGTCGTGTTGTCATGGCAACACTTGAGCGCGAGCCTGCGTTCAGTGTTGGTCATTTCTGAATACTTCATGTAAATTTAATGTTTGGAAAGTATTGGCGAGGGGTTACTGCATGCATGTATTTCTAGTACTTATAAATAAAACTTTTTCAATACTGATATTATACTAAAGCAATTAGTTGCCTCCGGCTCGGTGATAACAAGCCTATATTCACTTCGCCTTCGGCTCAGTGAAATAAGCTTGTAATCACCTCGTCTTCGGCGACTAATTGTTAAATAGTAATAGCATAATTTTAATTATTCATCGCGGCTAATTCTTATTCTCGAATATGATGTAAATTATTCCAAATTTGACTTGAACGTTATTTAAACCACATTTGCGGCAGATCTGTCCTAGCTTTAATAGACAGCTTTCACTTGAACCGAACGGTCACTATATTTCCAGTACTTGAAGAATATTACAATACAATGCTAACGCTTGTAAAGTTTAGTTTGAATTCCGCGGCCAAAGTTAACGTTTGTGATATTCGATACTGACAATGCATGTTATTAAAGTGCATATGAAAGAACCATAGATATCTTATATACACTAGATAGCGCATCTCTATTAGTAAAATTGAAGCCAAGGACATTCCAGCGGTTACCCCCATTTGGGAATAGATGGCGGCCATGTTGGTCGTTCCCACTCGCTAATAAACGCTTTAAGGTGGCTCAATACACTTTTTAGCCAAAGGAGCAAAAGTTGAATATTTTCTGCTTAAATGCTTTTATAGGGTTAAGTTCTACTTATAATTGTAACACATAGTAAGACGTGTCGCAAACAAAAAGAATTTTGATAAAAAGTCGCGTTTCCATGACAACTATAACGAATAATGGTAACAATAAATAGCCGAAAATATCGCAGTTTTTCGTGTTTTTTTCAAAAATGAGTTCGGTGACCCCAATTTTTTTTAATAAATCAGTTACGTTAGTGTCGAGAAACATTTCTGGGAAGTTTAAAAAAAATCTGTCGACTCAATTCTTTAGAATTAAATTTCTACTTTTTTGACAGTTTCTATCGAAAATTCTTTTTTATTTTTCCATCATGAAATCTTGAAGTATGTATCTACTCATGTACAAATTTTCAGGGTACCTTACCGAACTCGTTTTGGAAATAATGACGGTTTTATTTCGCGCGGCCAAAGTTTTTCACACTCTGCAAGATCAATGAATTGACATGCGCGTACATGTTTTCGCAGGCGCATCTCCAGAAAAACACGCACAAAAAAGTTTTTAGTCTCGTCGAAATATCAAATATATGTTGTGTTTTCTTGCTTAGAAATGCAAATATATTTAGTTTTGCATGCTAACTCGGGAAAACGCCAAGAAAACAGGTGATTGTCAGTCGTTTGGTATAAGATATGTGTGACATGTATGAACTTTTTGGCTTTTCTACAAAGTTTTATATTCGTTTTCAGTTGTAACTTGTGTGTTTTCATGTTGTTGTTGACAAGTTAAAACAGTTTGAGCCGGCGCATGATGCTGTTTCACTGAATTCCTTTGCTGTTAGTAACACTTTGAATACATTTACCAGTCATAAGTACAAAAAACTCTGGATATGAAGTAATAAATCGCCAAATATAGGAGTAAAAAACTTTTCGCCGGTCGGGCCGATCGCCGGTTTTCACAAGAGTTTGAACGTTGAACATTGCATTTTTACCTTAAAATGTCTTCTAAAAAGACTAGTTATTCAATGTTCAGAGCTAAATCAGGACGACGTTTGTTCTTTGAGAACAAATGAGAACAAGGAAGACTCAAGACATCAAAATAAACATGACTTGTGGTTCGGATTTTTAGACTGAAAAAGTTGTATTTATTTTTGCTTATATTTTAAACATTTTCGTGCGAAAACTCAAGATTAGGTACCAGTCCCCCGATGAAAAGTATGGAGCCACCTTAACTCTAAAAACTGTAGATATCAATTCACGTTTTTCTCCAGTATTTTATCACATTTATCAGTGAGTGAAGTTAGAAATTATTATCTTGGGCGATAGCCTTGATATTCAACCATTTTGAAGAGCTTGCAACCAACGTGACGTCATAAATTAGCGGACATATTCACACTCATTTACATACCAAACAAATTGAAATATCTCGGGAACAAACCATAAAAACAAGAAACTGAAAAATAATTATAAGTTACACTACAGCTTAGGGGCGGACCATTAGAAACCCGGGGTGAAAATTCCCAAAAAAAAATTCGTGCAAAGAAAAATGCCTGAAAAAAAATTCGTGCAGCCAATACGTCAGAGAAAAAAATTCGTGCAAGCAAACAGCGAAGTAGAAATAGTCTTGAAAAAAAATTCTTGCAGAGGTTAAATGCATTAAAAAAAATTCCTGCAGAGACATGAGACTGAAAAAAAAATTCGTGCCGCAAAAATTTTATACCCCCCCCCTCCCGGGATTTATAATGGTCCGCCCCTTAAAGAGTTCTTTCACTTAAGAAAATAAAAAAAATTCATGTCATATGCACTTTAATAATCGCCAATTTTGGCAAAAACAATGTTGCACTTTAACCGGTTTCAGATGCATTCACAGAAGGTTTTACACCAGTGGTAAAGTGGCGTTCGAACAAACGTTCCAACGACGTCGCGCACATGCACGTAACGTGCGTTTTGATTAATCAAAGATTGTTGAAGTCAACGTGTTGTTAAAGTTGTAAAGTAGCCAGGTCGAACCAATGAAGATAAATTATACAACATTCCCACAACGTTGCGATTAATACGATGCATGTGCTAGCTTGGAACTTTGTTACAGATGACATAATCCATCCAGTGTATAAGAGACCAAGTTGTGGCTTCAGATCTCCCCTGATGAAGACAGTAGACAGAGTAAGTTCTTTGAATGTTTAGAATGTTTGAATGAGTAGACAGAGTATTGAAACTATTTATTATTTCGAAAGCTTTGCAGTAATAAATTTACGTGGTGTTTCCACAAACAATAATATTATATGTTTTATCGCCAAGCAAAGCTACAAAGAACTACGTATTATATTTATTTGTTTTTTATTTATTATTTACTAAAATTATTTTTACCTAGGCTGATTTCCATACATTATATACTAGTAGGGCCTGTTTATATGATCCCACTTAGACGGGACGAGACGCAGGTTTTTTTTTAACGTGCAGTTCTACACAAAATGTGCAGTTCTAAATCAATTTGTGCAACTCTAAAAAAAAATTTGTGCAGTTGAAAAAATACGAACTTTCATGATATGGATATTTGTTCTGGAATCATTAGGTTAAAGTAATAGAATCAAAATATAAATGGAATGAATACAGCTTCAATAACAAAAGCAGTATATGTATCAGAATATTTATTTCAGTTTTCTTATAGCAAATTTAAACTAAAATGTTTTCTTTTTTTTTCTTTGCTGGTTCCTCTTCACAATCTGCCAACTTCTCTTCGAGTTTTGCAGCTTCCGAGAATATTCCCTTGAAATATTGTTGTTGTTTTCTTTTTGGACAATCTCGGGCGCGATGCGCTCTTTCATTCATCCAACTCATCACTGCTGGTTTAGGATCCCACTGATCCAACGACGGCATGTTATAATGCACATACAAATTGAGGTTTTCGGTTTCAAGGAGCATTCGACTACGACCAGAAGACTTCAGTGCCACACTGCAGCTGATCAGACGTTCTACATCTGCGCTATGTGGCTTGGCTGCAAGAATCCTTGCAAATGCAACTTTGAGGTTAGGCAGCTCTTCGGACTGGACAAACATTTGGAATCGTTCCCTCAGTGATAGCTTTCTGAAATGCTCTATATCTTCCATGCTAAGAACATCATCATATTCCATACCAAGTTCCATTAAGTCTAGATCTTTGAAGAATTGCTTGTGGACCTCCTTCAAATCCACTGACTGTTGTAAATTTACAAATGGCTTTAACAGATCAATGTCATCTTCTTGGTCCAAAAACCTTTGCGTTAAAAATTCTTTCAGAGACTCGATGATTTCATTCTTAATTGCATCAATGTCCCTTGTATCAGTGACGTAAAGATGATGAATGTGTCGACGGCGCCTTGCATTTCCACTGCTTAATTCGACTCCCTTTAAAGAAACGGTGCCATCTTCTTCCTCTGAAACTTGCTCGCTTAGAGCTTCAACCCATCCACCGAGGAGAGCCGTTTCTTTTAATCCTAACACCTTTGCCTTCACATTGGATGTGTATCTGTCCATGTCAATTAGTGTTGCAGAGTCCGATTGTAGTTGTTGCTGGTATCGTGAAAATACAAAAAGCAAATCTGCAATGAAGGTCAGCAGGTCAAGATTGTCTTTTTTGGTTAAAAAAGACAAGAAACCTGCAGCTTCTTTCTCATTACTTTTTTTGAAATAGGTAACAAGAGCACGCCAAGATCTCAAGACCACTTCTATTAACGACGATGTGAATTCTGTCCAACGAACTTCGAAGACACGAGGTAATGATAACACGCAGCAACCCTCAGCATTTGCAGCATCAATAAGTTCACGTGTCCGGATGCCAGATGCATGGAAAAATGTGGATATGCTTGAAAGCTGCTAAATTAAATGGCTTACTTCCTGAATTGAATTGGTGACAGATTTCCAGGCCACCTGCGAACGATGAGCAGCGCACCAAATTTTTATCATCGGTGTTGGTACTTCATCGCCCAAAGGAAGGTTGAAATCACGATCAATCAAAACCCAAAGACCATTTTTTTCTCCAGTATTTACTGATGC